ATGAAGAAAAGCCAAGGATGGATTTGGGCAACAGTCTGGAGCAGAAGGTGTCTGAGCTCACCAAGGAAAAGCACAGGTCAGAGGGAGCTGAAAATCTCTTGCAATAGATCAGCTTGTTTCCTTATGGGCATGCGGATCTTTGTGTTCATAGGTGTGTGTGTGTGCATGTGCGTGTGTGTACATGCACGCTTCTTGTTGCAGTGAGTGTGTGACTAGGTGTTCATATGTGTTGGTGATATGTGTTCCCTGTGAAATTTTTTAATTGTGTGTGGCCTTATGTGGTTGTGATAATGGGTATCTATAGTGTTTGAGCTGTGTGTATGTGGTATGTGAGTTGCGTGTTTTACCAGGTATGTCATGGCTGTGTGTCAGTAGTGCACTGTATTTTGGGGTGGTACATCATCATGTATTGTGTGTCTTACCTTGCACGTTATTTATAACCTATATGTACATGAGTTGAAGATGAACCCTCTTTGGCCTCATATCTAGAAAATGGACACTTACAGGCTCTCAGCAAATATTTATGGCTTGAACAGAAGTTAATGGGAGAGGCTTTTGTCAACTGGAAACTACACAACTAGAAATAAAGGAAATTACACGTGGTACTTAAAAAAATTTGAACAGCTTCAACTTCCTTACAGACCTAAAATAACACGGGGTATCCGGCACTCACAACTAACAAAAAGGTAAACTTCATGAGTTTTGCTTAAAGCATGGGCTCTGATCACACAAGTATTAGATCAAACTGCATGAATTAACCAATATTTAATCATTTTTAACCTACAGAAAATGGTAATTATATCTAATATATAAATATATTAGATAAACTTTCAAAACAAATAAAAAAGAGAACAGAACTGTGGTTATTAGAGGTGGGAAAAGGGGAGAAGAGGGGGGTTTGGCAAGAAACTAGTTAAGGGTCACAAAGATAGACTATGTTTTGTAAACATGAGTATACTAATTATCCTGATTTGATCACCACATATGGTACACGTGTATTGATATTAAATTCTGTACCCACACGTATATACATAATCAATCAATCAATAAATAGAAATAAAATGAATATATTTGATACAGATGATATACAGATACAGAGAAACGTAGATGTGGATATAGATTAGGTATAGGTATAAGTACACTTATATCCCATATAGAAAAGCTATATCTATCACTAGAAAAGGCTCACTGGAGCTCATAGAAGATTGGGAATTGTTTGCCCTCGCAGAAACCAGAGTGAAAAGAAGACTTGGACTGAGTCTTCAAAAGTGTATTCCATAGAAGTGGAGTCGAATTATCCCTAGATGAAAGGTTGCTCCAGACATTTCTTAGCAAAACTTAAAAGTAAGTCTTGAAAGTATCAAGCACATTCCAAAAAAAAAAAAAAAAAAGACTGCATTTAAGAGCAAAACTCAACAATATTTAGGTTTGTAGATTTTAGGTTGCATTTACTCCATTTAAGATTTAAATGCAGTAAATCTACAAACCTAAAATTTAGTGTCTGGCATTTAATACAAATTACCAGGCACACATAGTATGCATTACTCATTAGCAAGAGAAAAATCAGTTAACAGAAAGATGTGGAAATGAAAATGATGAAGAAAATTAGGAGATAAGAATATGAAAACAGTCTTGTAAATATTTAAATTTAACACGGTAGAGAACAACATAATATCCTGAGGAGAAAAATGTACAACATAAAAAACACAAATTGAATTTCTGAAAATTAGAAAAAAAGACAGTATGCAAAACAAAAAGTACACTGGATGAGTTTATAGGAAAATTAAACAACACCAAAGAAAAGATTAGTGAACTTTAAGACATATCGAAACTATGTGTGTTAGTTTTCTAGGACTATAATAACAAAGCACCACAGGTTGGGTGTCTTAATAAAACAGAAACATATCATCTCACAGTTCTGGAGGCTAGAAGTTCAAGATCAAGATGTCAACAGTGTTTATTTCCTCTGAAGACTGTGAAAGATTCTTTCCCATGCTTCTTACCTAACTTTTGGTGATTTCTCAGCAAGTTTTGGCATTCCTTGGCTTGAAGAAGTGTCACCCCAATCTGTACCATTATTTTCCCATGGTGGTGTTCTCGCTGTGTGTGTGTCTGTGTCCAAATTTCCCCGTTTTATCAGGACACCAGTTGTATTGAACTCTACTCCAGATGACCTCATCTTAACCTAACTAATTATGTTTGTATTGACCCTGTTTCCAAATAAGTTCATGCTCTGAGGTATCAGGGGTTAGGACTTTACCATATGAATTTGGAGGAGACAAAATTCAACCCCATAACACTATCCAAAATGAAATACAAAGAGAGGAGACTGAAAATAAAATTGAGCATCATGACTTGTGAGGCAATCTGTGCCCAGAAGAACAGGAGAGTACAGAAAATTTGTTTGAAGAAATAATAATTAAAAACGTTCCCAATTTTATGAATGCTGTAATCTTGAAAATTCAGGGGGCACAAAAAAGTCCAAGCAAAAGAAACAAACCATACCAAAGTATACCAAATTAAGTTTATGAAAATGAGTCATAAAAAGAAAATATTAAAAGCCATCAAAGTAGAAAAGATGGAGGAGAAAAGATAAGAATAAGACCACCTTTTCATTAAAAACTATGAGAGAAGACAATTGTATGGCATATTTAAAGTGATGAAAGACTAAAAAAACAACTTAGAATTATAAATCAAAGAAATATCTTTTTAAAACTGAAAATAAAATACTTCTGACAAACAAAAGACCAGCAAGTTCACCACCAGCAGATCAGCCCTAAAGAAATGTAAGAAGTGCTCAAAACAGAAGGAAAACAGTAACAGATGGAAAATTTGTTCTTGTATACAAAATGATGAAGAATACTGAAAGTGGAGACTTCCAGTCAAGATGGTAGAATAGACAGTCTCCAGCATCACTCTCTCACACCAATCAATCAATCTACAACTATAAAAAAACAATGACAGCCAAGCTGGGGCCCCTAGAGCTCAGGGGAAGAACTCACTGTGTAGAGCCTGAAGGTGGGAGAAGCCACAAGGAGAGAAAGAAAAAACTGCTCTGACCTTTTCAAGTCCCTGCCACTTCCTGGCTAGAGCTGCTAAGCATACAGAGCAGAAGCTGGCAAAAGCCACAGCTGTGCCCTTCAGAAGAAGTTGCTTGGAGGCAGTGGGGGAGAAGAGGGCCTTGGTGGCCCCCGGGCCAGCAAAACCACTAATAGGGATCCCGTGGAACCACATAGGAGCAAGGAGCCACAACAAGTGAAAAAAAGGAGCCACTCAGAGGCCAGCAAGTCATTGCAAGGGACCGGCACATGACCCATCCTATGGGAAGTGTTTGTAGCATGGGCAGTGGAGGAGACAGGCCCACCAGGAGAACACTGGGGCACAGCAAGGACAGCTGGTTTGCCTCCAATCAGCACAGGACCACTCAGAGGAGACTGGTCAGGGATATAAAATTGCATGAGGTACAGTTTGATGAAAAGACTCAGGCCCAGAACAGAGTTTCTATGCAACCCAGGTACATCAGATTTCACTAGACCTGGAAGTACCTATAAAGTTACCCTTTAAAACCTGAGCTGCACAAAAAGCTTTCCCTAGGGAAGCAGCAGCAAAGCAGCAATTTAGCTAAAACACACAGCTCAAGCACTGTTCCCACAGGAAGTTCCCCCATTTTAGAAGTAAGCAAAGGACAACAAATTAATTCCAGCACAGAGTTTAAATGGTGAGAACAGCAAATAATCCAACACAGAACTGAAAGAAAAAACAAAGTACCTGCAACCAGAGACAAAGTTTGATATTACCTAGTAAAGGTCTCATTTCACCAAAGAAAACCTATAACACATAGAAGGACCAGAAGTCCCCTGGGCTACTAAGACCGAAAGGGGGGAGGGCCAGGAGCCTCAGCAATGCCCCCTGACACCTGCAACCAATCCCAAGGGTGGGGGACGAGGGCCTCATCTGGAACAGGTTTGTAATTCTGTTTATCTTTAACTAAGTACAGGCCTGAAGAAAGAGACCTCTGTGGACCTTCCATGGATGCTGAACAAGACAGAAGAATACAAAAGATAGAAGATTACTGGGCTCATACTACAAACCTGGGGTCACTAACCTGAGTAGAAATGATTGTTGGGGGGATAGATAATGAAACGCCAGGTTGAGAGAGGGACCAAATGAGGTGGGGGCAACAGAAGGCTCCAGGCTTTGGGTACTTTCTTTGTCTTTCTCTTTCCCTACCTGGTTTGAGCCTGTGTCTTGATTGAAATTCATAACGTGCAGTCAGAAAGCTTCATAGACAACTGGTCTGAAAGTGAACTGCTGAATAAAAGTTATCGTAGCCTAGAAGGGTGATCGATGTTCCTAAAATCAAGGAGAAGCCTCAAGTCCTTAAGTGGAGCAGATGAACTCATAGCAGTGGATAGTTTCCTGGAGCATGGAGGGTGCTGTACAGCTTCTCTGCCTGACCTGCTGTCATCACCACCACCAACAAAAAATTGATAAATGCACTGAATGGGAAGTCAGGAAAGGAAAAGAGACACTTTACAAATTCCCAGTTCTGCCACCTTTCTATGCCATGGGATCCCTGTTAGCCAACATGTTCCAACAATATATAAAAAGTAATAAATTTCCAGGAAATAAGAGATGAGACTAAATTTTGAATGTAATAGGCAAGAGCAATAACCAATAATATCAGCCCAGAATTCACAACTGATACTAAGTAGTTGCAAAGAAAAGAGAGAATAAGTATAAAAGAATGCAATTCAAGTAATCAAATATTTACTGAGAACTTATTCCATGCTGGGCCCAAGATGAGGGGTCTAGCATTTGGAGATGTGTGAATATATGAGTCTGTTATAAAGAATAGCAAATGTCATTGAGATGACACTGTTGCCCTGTTGAAGAGTCTTTCCAGGGCCCCCTCCATGTCTCTGTTCCTTAGGCTATAAATAAAGGGGTTTAGCAATGGGGTGACTACTGTGTACATCACAGAGGCAATTATGTTCTTGTTACTGGAGTTTCTGGATGAGGGAAAAAAATACAGCCCAATAATTGTGCCATAATGAAGAGATATGACAGAGAGGTGAGAGCCACAGGTGGAATAAGGCTTTGCAGGTCCCATTGGTAGATGGAACCTTCAGAATGGTGGCCCCAATGCGTCCATAAGAGATCAAGAGGCATATTAATGGTAGAGTAATAACTGCTACTCCCACTGTGAAAATGACCAGCTCATTGAGGGAGGTGTCTGAGCACGAGAGCTTGAGCAGGGCAGCAAGGTCACAGAAGAAATGGAGGATAGTGTTGTCAGCACAAAAGGACAGTTGAGCCAGGAGGAGGGTGTGAGACAACGCATTGGTACAAGAGAGGATGCAGGACACAGCTACTAGTAAGGTACACTGTCCCTGTCTCATGATGGTGGTGTAGTGGAGGGGATGACAGATGGCTGTATACCGGTCATAAGCCATTGAAGTGAGAAGGAAATTGTCCAGATCAATGAAAAATATGAAAAAATACATCTGTGTTATGCACCCTGCATGGAGGACGGATTGATTTTGACTCTGCATGCTTATTAACATCCTTGGGACAGTGACAGATGAAAAGGAGACATCAGTGAGGGCCAGGTGGCTGAGGAAGAAGTACATGGGGATGTGGAGGCGAGAGTCCAGCCTGATGAGCAGGACGATGAGCAGGTTCCCCAGCACCGTGGTCAGGTACATGCCCAGGAACAGGGTGAAGAACACGCCCTGCTGCTCTGGCCAGATGGGGAGCCCCAGGAGGAGGAACTGGGACACGCTGCTCTGGTTCTCCCTCTTCAGGCTGCTCTTCTCTCTGCTGGGAATGGACAGACGTCCAAAAAAGCAGAAACAAACAAATGTGGATATATAGCAGGTAGATGAAAATGAGATCCTTTCTGTAGATGAATGTGCCAATCGATGTCTGTCTGCATTGCTGTATTCCTACAAATCATTTAAAGTGGATGGTATTGTCATGTAAAGTGAGAGAACTTGACAGCAGAGAAGAGAGTTTGATATAGAAGGGAAGCGAGCTCCTTTGGCACTTTTCATCATCTAGGAGAGAGGCCACCCAAACCAAGTCATTATTTGCTGCTGTGTCTGGTCCGTAAAGATAAGCCTTGTAGTGTCTTAGCAGAGGGATATTAAGTTAAAATCTTCCCAATTTCTCTTCTGTTTCCATACTTAAAAAAAAAATCATCAGAGTAGTCTTGAGACTTTAAGCTATAACATATTGAACTTTTGAAAAGTGACTTCAAAATCCATTAATAAGGAAGGTACAGGGAGGAAGTGTCAATAACAGGTACTGCAAAGGGAACTGGATCCAAAAATAAATAGCTGAAGTTTCCATTATGTATAAAGTTGATGAGAAAAGAAACATATTCATTGATTACAATATCACTGCTATAAAAAGTAAAAATATTATCTGCAATTATGTATTTATTACCACTAATCATGTTTATTAGGCTCTTTTAGATAGGATACTAGAGATGGGAGAGAGGGAGGGAGGGAGGGGGTTTGGGAAGTGATAGTTTGGGTAGAAGGCATAAATAAAAATCAAAATTTGTAATAATGAATATGCTAATAAAAATAATAAAATTTTTTTGAAAACCAAATGAATGAATGAATGAATAAATTTATTTAATAATTACCCAGTGCTTATTTAGTGCCCCGAGATTAAAAAATTAGTGACAAACCTTAACATTTTTTGCGCATTGGCATGTTCCAAGCACTTGAAAAGAACTCCAACACTCATTGTCTTACTGAATCCTCAGAACAACCTCAGGAGGAAGGTACTGTTCTTATCTCTACTTTACACTTAAAGACTCTGGATGTTTCAGAACTAAATTAAATTGTTCAGGGGCTCAGAGTAAGCGGCAGAGTCTGAACTCAATTCCGGGAGTGCCTTTGTCAAGACCTCATGGGGTCCATTCTTCTGTTTTTCTACTTTTTTTTTCAATTTTAACTTCTCAATATACATTGTGGTTGATTTTCATGACCCTTAACCCGTTCTGTTTTTCTATCTTTCGAGCAAGGCACAGTCCATGCCCTACAGAGCCTCTCCAGGTAATAGGAAGATTGGCAAGCTTTAGGGGAGGCTTGCATAGGAGGTCCATGAGCCTTGCTCTGTGATATAGGGACAGGCTTACTCTATTGCTGTGTATACTTTGGAGGCCCAGACTGACTTTGGCCCCTTTTTTCCAATCACCTGGAACCACTAAATCAGAGAGACAGGAGCTCAGTGCATCACCGACATCAGAGACACCATCCCAGGACTCCAGGGGCTCAGCTCCTCTGGCCCCTGCCCAGGTTCCTCCTCAAGAGGCCAGCAGGAAACTGTTCAATTAGCCCATGTAGACTGTTTCTTTGTCAAGGATCCTGGATGTTTTTTCTCCCTGTGTCTTCTTTCCATTTGCAAAATAAAATCCTCCTGCCCATTGTTCCATGCTGTTAAACAGGCATGAAAGACTGTGAAGGTCTTCAGGCAACGGAGGCTGCATATTATTCTTTGGTTTGTGAGCCTTTTGGACAGAAAGCCAGGACTCGCGTAACAGCCCAGAGCAGAAGGTATCTGAGCTTATCAAGGACTAGTATAGGTCAAAATGGGCCTGAATTGCACTTGTAAACGTGTGTGTGTGAATGCGAGACTAGGTGTGTGTGTCCTGTGTATCTCTACAATTGTGTGTTACAGACTCACACATGGACTATCTCTACCTGGGATGTGCATTGATCGGGCAAGGCCAGAAATCTCATTTGAGCCATGCATATGCTTTAGCGGTTATGTAACTATTGTCTGGGTATTGCTTGTGTGATTCTGTGTCTTGTAATTTGAATATTTATGATTGCCTGGGGTGTCTATCTGCATGTGTTTCTGCTATATGCTGTTTGTCAGTTTTTTGTGTGACTCTTTGTGCATTGTGTTTTGCATATATGACTATGTTTATTTATGAATTTTGAGTGAAACAGATTTGCACCCAACCATCTTCATCTAGGGCATACATATGTCAGAGAGAACAGAAAGTTGTCCCTTAACAATATGTGTGTTGAGGTGTGCATTTGTGCGAGAGGCAGAAAGAGAGTGAGAGAAATTGACCACAGTTGTAGAGGTGACTGTATTGCGTTTAACAAACACACCTTGACCAGTTTCACCTAAAGGGACAGGGGAAAAGTAAGAGTTTGAAACACTAATAAAGCAATATGTCTTCTGATAATTTCCTTGACTCAGACCAGAACCCAGTCAACTAATTTTGATTCAGACCCTCTTTAAGCTCTGCGGGAGCCATTGGACTATGTGAGTGGAATTTCCCAATAATGCTCCTAGGGCACTAAACATATATCACTCAGGCCTTTAACACTGTCCATATTTACACTTTGGCAGCATGGTAGACTAGTTAACTATTCTTTGGTTTGTGAGCCTTTTGGACAGAAAGCCAGGACTCGCGTAACAGCCCAGAGCAGAAGGTATCTGAGCTTATCAAGGACTAGTATAGGTCAAAATGGGCCTGAATTGCACTTGTAAACGTGTGTGTGTGAATGCGAGACTAGGTGTGTGTGTCCTGTGTATCTCTACAATTGTGTGTTACAGACTCACACATGGACTATCTCTACCTGGGATGTGCATTGATCGGGCAAGGCCAGAAATCTCGTTTGAGCAATGCGTGTGTTTTAGCGGTTATGTAACTATTGTCTGGGTATTGCTTGTGTGATTCTGTGTCTTGTAATTTGAATATTTATGATTGCCTGGGGTGTCTATCTGCATGTGTTTCTGCTATATGCTGTTTGTCAGTTTTTTGTGTGACTCTTTGTGCATTGTGTTTTGCATATATGACTATGTTTATTTATGAATTTTGAGTGAAACAGATTTGCACCCAACCATCTTCATCTAGGGCATACATATGTCAGAGAGAACAGAAAGTTGTCCCTTAACAATATGTGTGTTGAGGTGTGCATTTGTGCGAGAGGCAGAAAGAGAGTGAGAGAAATTGACCACAGTTGTAGAGGTGACTGTATTGCGTTTAACAAACACACCTTGACTAGTTTCACCTAAAGGGACAGGGGAAAAGTAAGAGTTTGAAACACTAATAAAGCAATATGTCTATGGAGACCGTTCCATATGGAATGGTCTCACCTTCTGATAATTTCCTTGACTCAGACCAGAACCCAGTCAACTAATTTTGATTCAGACCCTCTTTAAGCTATGCTGGAGCCATTGGACTATGTGAGTGGAATTTCCCAATAATGCTCCTAGGGCACTAAACATATATCACTCGGGCCTTTAACACTGTCCATATTTACACTTTGGCAGTATGGTAGACTAGTTAAGTGTCCAAATTCTGTTGTCCTTGGAACCCAGTGGTTGCCATGCAACAGTTCTGTGGTCTTACATTTGATTTCTCTGAGGCCAGCAGCTGTAAATGTAAAAGAGGATAATAATAGCTGCTGTAAGATACTGTCAGCAAGCAATTTAATACAGTATAGGCCCATTATAAGCACTCAGTAAATGGTAGCTGGCTGTGTAATTATTCCTCAGGCGGAGGCTGAGATGCCTGATGCTTCATTCACTTCCCACCTGTACATGGGAGTATTATGTTGTATCATTTGAACAGCAAGTTCAGGTGAATATGCTCTCTCAAACCTCAGGTTACAGCTTCATTAGGACACACTGCCGTTAACACACAAGATGAAGGTTCCTTTGCTGCTGGTTCAGGTTTTCTGCCCAGCTCTCCACCCAACCCTCCACCCCGAGAGAAGCCAGAGCTCCAGTTGTCAATGAGCAGCCAGGCCTCAGAAGGAGGGAGTGTGAGGTCACCTCCCACCTCCTATTGTCTGAGTATCCCTGAGAATCACCCTGGTCCAGAAAAAGATCTACTATCAGATATGACACCTATGTGCTAATGTCGATTTCCTCTCCCAGGCATATGGGTATTTCAACTCTGTTAGTCATTCTTTCTCCTACCTCCCCCCACCCCCCAAAGATACGGTCAGTGTCTGTCTCTAGTGAAAAGAGCATCAGAAGATTTGCCTTTGAGGTCAGGTTCTACCACCAAATACATTGTGTAAGTGACTTCATTTCTCATGTTAGCAGAATGAAAGAAAAATGTCAGAGTCTTCTCTCCTTCCCAGACACAAAATAAATATTGATTGCATAGAACTCCAAGTATGTGAAAGCCATTTGCAAACTATAAATGGCTGGAGGAATGTGAGTGATGGGCAGACATCTGAGCTAGTGACTGAGGAAATTTCGAGCATAAAATGCTCTTTCAAACACTGAGATAACATGGCTCAAAGGCCTGGCTTTTCTGGTTACTTAAATAGGGGGAGAGTATGTTCGATAGGAG